TACACTCCAAATCACCTTTTTCTTTCAAATGTCCTGATACTGAATCTGTTTTATATGTACTTGGTTTAATTCACAACTTCTGAAAAGGGCGTCAAAGCAGTATGTATGTATGTATGTATGTATGTATGTATGTATGTATGTATGTATTTGTCTTTAGCCAGGTTCTTCCTAGGTAAACCAAGATTTTTATGCAGCCCTAGTTCAGTGAAATCACAATCCACTAGTTTCTAGGCTTTTTTTTCTGGCAGCCAGCAAACACTCTGCTGCCCATTGGGAGACTAAGGAGACTAAGATAGATCTATTTTGGACTTATAAGTCCTCATCAGTTAGCCACACCCTCATTCCATGTATTCCTCCCTTTCCTACAAAAAGGAAAGAAAATAAATACTGTACCTTTACAGGGAGGATACAAAAAAAAAAGGCTAGAAACTAGTGGATTGTGATCACACTACGATCACATGCTGCAATCACACATTGCTCCTAGAAGCATGAAGCCGAAAACAGCAGCCTGAAGATGACAAATGAGACTTCGTCGAAACGTCGCCAAGACACTTCCAATTTTATGCGGGAGAAAACCCAAATAACCAAAGACCTACATATATATATTTCGATTAATAAAATATGTCCACATGCCCTCCATTTCTTGTGCCCCTTCCCCAACTTCTTATCCTGCACATCTCCCACCCAGTCATTTTTCATTCTGGAGAGCAGTAGCCGTAGACTCAGTGGTCTTCTAATTTGTTTGGGTTTATGGGTAAAGCTACCTATAGTTACTCTGACATTTGACTCTGGGTGTGATCCAGAGTTCAATAAGAAAGAGTTGTTTTTTTCTTTCCTCAAGATGACACAAGCTTAGAAGAGCACGTTACTCCCTTGAAACCAGAATGGATAAAAATTGATGATTTTTTAAAAAAATAAACAAATAAACCCAGATTTTTTTTCATTTAAATTGGATTTTTTTTAATCAAATTTATTTTAATAAAATGCTTTTGGAATAAAAATCTATCTAAAGATAGTTTTCTATTTAAGATACATCAATAATTTAACTTATTCAGCATGAAATGGAGCTTAGGTGTGTAGCATGAGGCTGTATATTCTGCAAGAGATGACAGTTGCCCTTTAAAAATGATTTAAATCAAGTTGATTTAATCAAGCCTTTTTACTAGTGATTTAAATCACGATTTAAATAAGTGTTTTGGTTTCTTCAGTAAAGTATAGAATTTTATTAACCTTCTACGTAGATTGATTGTGAACATAGCAATATTGTTACTGGGAAATTCAATATCAGGACCATTCAGAACACTGGTTGACTCATCCAGGAATAAAGACAACTATTGACATTTGTGCCAATCGAAAGGTTATTTTTCATACGAATTATTTGCAGTGAAAATGTTGGCATTTAGTAATATCTCGACCAATGCTTCATTTATATAGAGGAAAAAGTCATTTTAAGACTGACAAAATACAAAATGTTAGTAACTTGCAGTGGATCAAGCACTATTTTCAACTGTAATTTATTAGGATTTAGGATTTGTCAAGTATACAGTGATTAAGAAAGTGAAAATAACCAGCATTTTTTTCTATTTTATTTAAAGGATTTGTCATGACTAAGGTTAACATTAGCTACATCAAGTAGCACAGAATTTTTAAGAGCCTCCAATTATATCTTAGCAAACACCATCGTTAAAAAAGGACATTTAGTTTTTTAATCCTTTGTAGAAGGAAAGAATTTAGGATATAGAACCTACATATATTGCATAGCTCATACTTTTGTAAATAGTAATTATCTTACTGGATACTTACATAAGAAGGGAGCTCTTTATAATAGTTACAAAAAAAATTGGAATATCAATGAGTATAATACACCCCAACCCTGGAATTATCACATACTATTTCCTCTTGGAGTAGATAATGTTACATAGTTTGCAGAAAAGGAGTAAAAAATAGTAAACGAAAGAAATTAGATAGGAGGAAAAAAATGAATCATAAAACTTAATCCAGTTCATACCAACACCATTCATTAAACCCCCTCATCTTTTTATCCTTGTAAAAATATTCTTCATTTCATGCTCCTTACCATTTATTCTTCTTATATTATTAAAATCTGTGCACAGTGATCTTACAAGATGATTTAATAGGCATTGACTTTAACTGCTGATCCTAGTTTTGTCAATCACGGTTATATTTGGATACTTTTTACTAAGTTAGTAACCAGTGATGGTTTAATTAAGGCAACTTGCTTTAAAAAAGGACTAGAAAAGCAGTAGGGGTGACATGATAGCAGTATTCCAGTATTTGGGGGGCTGACATGAAGAGGGAGTCAACTTATTTTCCAAAGTCCTAGAACAATGATGGCTAACCTTTTTTTCCTCGGGTGCCAAAAGCGCCCGCGTGTGTGCGACAGTGCACGCCCGCGTGCCCACACCCATAATTCAATGCCTCCCGCGTGCCCTGCCCCCCCTGCGCATGCATGCGCACCCCCGTGTTTCCCTGCCCCCCTGCACATGCGTATGTGACCCTCCCCCACCCCCAGTGGTTCCCCCCCTCCACACATGCGTATGCCCCCCCGTCCCAATTTTGGTCCCAGGAGGCTTCATGGAGGCCTGCTAGGCCCAAAATGTGGCTGGAGGGGCGCACCATATCCCCCCGGCCCCCCATGCATGTGCGCATGACACTCTCCCCGGCCCCCTGAACATGTGTGCACAACCCCCCCCACCCACACATGCACGCGTGTCTCTGCAGACCAGTCAGTTGGCTGGCGGGAGGCATGCATGCATACGCAGTGGAGCTGATCTAGGGCGACAGCTCGTGTGCCTGCAGAGATGGCTCCACATGCTACAGGTTCGCCATCACAGTCCTAGAAGGTAAGAGAAGAAATGATGGCTGGAAAATAATGGAAGCAACCTGGAATTAAGGAGAAACTTCCTAACAGTGAGGATAATTAACCAGTGGAACAGCTTGCCTCCAGAAGTTGTAAGTGCTTCATCACTGGAGGCTTTTAAGAAAAGATTGGACAGCCACCTACCTGAAATGATACAAGACTTCCAAGTTCCCTTCCAGCTCTATTCTGATTAACTTGAAATATTTCCTACTCGTAGAATGGGGGTGGGGAAAGATAGCCGTTTTATGACTTGTGGACTTCAACTCCCAGAATTCCTGAGCAAGACATGCTGGTTTAGGAATTCTGGGAGTTGGAGTCCACAAATCATAAAGGGGCCATCGTTCCCCACTTCTATCATAGAAGGAAACTAGCACATTTGGGACACTATGCCACCTTTGCTTTTGCTAGTCTACATAGACTTGGATCGCTAATCTATAAACTGTCTTGTAAATCAGCATACTGTCGCCTATATGCCATAGTCTAGGACTAATGGTACACCAAATAGATGTTATTTATATTGGACATTTATAGTCAAATCCCAGAGGACTTAATAAAGATTTATATCACTTTTACTAGGGGGAAAATTGAGAACAGTTATTCAGAAAACAAAACTATAATCAAAAAGCATGGTTTGTTTCTCTAAATTAAAATATCTTTTAGTATCTCAGGATATTAAAACTGTGAAGTTGTGTGAACGAATTTTGTTAGCTGTCAATTTAATAATAGTGGTAGTAATTATGAATTTTCTCAAAGCCAGATGTTCGGCTGGATTTGGCATTTTTAGCCACCTATCAAGTCCTTCCAAGGACCTGGGATAGGCAGATATTTATATTTGATATATTAGAGGTATCATTGCAGGATGTAAGCTGTTCCGAATAAAGCTGCCTTTTGCAATTGACTGATGGTGAATTTATCAATACCGATGGTGTTCAAGGAATGCTCCAGTTGTTTTGGGTTTGCACCCAAGGTGCCTATCATTAGTAGTACTACCTTTGCTTTCTTTTGCCCCCGTCATTTTATTTCTATTTGCAGATCTTTGTATTTTGTTATCTTCTCCAATTCTTTCTCGTCTATTCTGCTGTCTCTGGATACTGCCACGACAGTGCCACATCCACAATCCAACCTTTTTTGTCTTTCTTATCAAGAGTTGTAAAGTCTGGGATGTTGTGTGTCAGGTGCCTGTCTGAATTCTAAACTACAGCTTCTTGCTTGTAGACAAATGGTATTTCTTGCAGATCTTCAATGAACTATTGTTGCTACTTTGTCATGCCATTGTTTGTAGTCAGTGTGTGCAATCTTCTTGCAGCCGCTATCCAGGTGATCCGCTGTTTCTTCAGCTTCTTTGCAGAGGTGGCATTTCCTGTCTGCTACTGTTATTATTATTATAGTTCATCATATAGTCAGACAGATTTGGCATATTAAATACACTTACTGAGTCCTTCCCAACAGCAATAGACAGATATTATACTTGACTAGCCCAAAAATTCAGGGGATTATGATAGTTGTAGTCCAAAATAACTAACATGAAACTATCTGCTCGTACTTTCAAATAATTTCTTCTTACCCACTACTACTTTCATAATGGAATTAAGAGAAATATTTGTTAGCAGAATAATTATTGAAATTAAAACCTATCTAGGTACCTCTTCAATACAGTAACCTATGGTTAGAGTTGTAGGCTCAGATAGCTGCAGTCTAAATTTTAAATAATTATCCAGCGTATAAACTCTATGATATAAATTAACATGTATTTTATACCCAGGTGTTCTAATTTGTATAACCTCCCAGTCTGTTCTTATAACCAAAATTCACTTTTAAAGTATCCTGTTATGAAAATATTTTAAAGCCAGGATCCACCACAGAAAGAGGTGGATTGCATAGTATTGATGCAGAAGGCCCTTGCAAGAAGGACTCATGTAATCAGAATGCGTAAAACGAAGCAGACACGACAGTACACCGTAAATATTTAATGGGAGTTGATCCCGGAGACCCCTCTAAAACAAGGTTTTAACCCCAAGTACATTGAAATAGGAAATTATTTGGAGGAAATTATTGCAGTGCATTGTGTGATCATTAACATGTCTCATTTTGCTGTTGTTTTGGGTGTTTTTTGTCCCAGAAAGAAGACACAGCTCCTCCAGCAAACCACCTCTGACACCTCCTTCCTCTTCAGTATTCTCCTTGTATTCATCTCTGTCTTCAAAAAATAAAGGTAGCAGCGGAGGAGGGAGCAATCGCTCATCCAGTGGTGGAGGGGCAGGTGCATCGTCCTCATCCAGTTCAAAATTATTGAAATCACCCAAAGACAAGCTGCCAATTGGTGGAAACAATAGGCCAATGCATCTAATCCATAGCAAAGGTCTCCATGACAAAATGTGAGTTGTTTATTGATTTGTTACCTGCCTTTGTTCTGAAAATAGAAAAGTTTCAGCACTGAGACAAGTACTCTGTTTCTAACTCTGCCGTGTCCATTTTTAAACAGAGTATTTTATTTTGGTCCTTGGTTATTTTCCAACCGTAAATTAGGATTTGGGAGAAATGCCATGAAAATCTCTTCTGTATGATCCTTCGTCTTTTTTTTTTTCCTGATCAGTAAATAACATTGTATAGCTAGCTGTACCACACGCATTAAGAATTAATAGGAACTATTAAACCAAGGCAGACACTGGATTTGCATGTCATTGTTAAATGAAGCAGTGGCTAACCCTAAAATCGAGGCAGACAGAATATAACTGCACGATTAATGCTGAGAAAGAAAGGAAAGGAAAAATCACATAGGAGGAAGAAGAAAGAGAGGGATTTGTTCCTCAAATAATAGGTCTGCACCATTGGTCTATGATCCAGAACATAGTGGCCAAAAATAAGAAAACAAAGATCAGGTAGAGCTGGATTGAGGGTGGAATTGTTGTTTATAAGGTTGAAAATGACATAATTAACCAGAGCTGCGCAGTGATCATGTCAGCTTGCTTTTTGACTCGGATCCAGTGCTCCAGAAATAACTTCTTGTCAGTTCGGAGACAGTCTGTCATGATACATTCCCACTTCCAGAAAGTGGAAAATGAAATGGCAGTCTTCCTGAAAGGCTTTTCCATGGTGATGAAAAAGGAAAGCCTCGTTCAGACACGTAGTGTGCCTTTCTGTCTTCTGTTCTGGGCCCAGCCAATACTGTACGGCAAGGTTTCTCTTTAAACACCCTTTCTCAGACAGCCAATTACCCAGAATAGGAAGAAGAAGAGTATGGAAGGATATTACCTTGAATAATGTCAGATTGCTCTGACTTGCCCTGGGTTGCATAGAAAGATAAGCATTTAGAAATTGTGTTATTTATGTGTTCATTTTGAACAGAAGATAGCACAATCTTTGGAAGCGACTGGGCCCTGTCTTCTTTCTTAAAATCCCTCCATATCCCACATCCATGTTGCTTCTGCAGTGAAATCTTGTGTTTAAATGAGAAGGACAGTTAAATTGGGATGAACCTGAGCTGTACTGTATATTAAATCATGTCTAAATAAGGGAGGTTTTACTGTGTAACAATTACATATGGCTTTGCCTTATATTTTATCTTCACTAGCATGACTCCATCTGTCAAAATGGAAAAAATACATCCAAAGTTAGATGGTGCATTACTGAAGCCTGCTGTTGGTCCAACCTGTTCTACTACTGTGAGCTCCTCAATAAAGACTGGCCTTAATCCCTCAATACCAAAGCCACCCTTGCCTTCCCCTGGACAGATACTGAATGGTAAAAGTCTTCTCTCTGTGCCTCCATATACAGAAAAGAAACAAGACGAGAGTACAAATAATAGGAAATTTTTACACAAAAGACTGTCAGGTAATTCTTACAATGAACGTCAAATGTAGAATATTAAAATAAAAAAGACGTGTGCATTTTTATAATAAAGGTAAAAGTAAAATGTATGTTTCTGAAGTTATCCTGAACTCTAGAAATGGTGTAGAAAAGTTAATCATTACCATCTTTGAATAACCAGAATCCAGAGTGCCATGTGAAGTGATCTGCATGCGTGTGCTGTTCATCTCACCTTTTCTGATAGCTGCTCCTTCCCCATTTGGAATCCTTCTGATAGCTATTGACACACTTTTGAAAAGAAAAATCAGCCATATATATTCTTAAAGGATCCTGGCCAATAGCATAAAGCATGTATTTAATCATACTAACGATGCAAAAGGTAAAGCATTAACATTGGTAGTTAAGGTAAAAAGAAGCACCCATGGATTCTTTGAATTTTACAATATGAGCTTTGAGTTGATTTTATGTCTCAAGGGGCTGCTCTGTTGAAAATTTCAATAAATTTGTAACCTGTTCATGAATTCTGCAATGCTATTTAGTCTCCTATATAATAGGGGCAGTATATATATAATAGCAAATAGCACAACTGCACAGAAAAGCACTGTATTTTCAGATATTGTCCTACTGAATTCATATTCAGTATTTTTGGAATTATAATGATCAAGCTTCATCTTAACCAATAACATTTGGCATATGCACCAGTACAAAGGTATATTAACTCAAGCGTATTCTGTGCAGCACTACAATCTTTAAAGATATTCTTATATGCTTAGCTGAAAATATTTTTGTGGCAACGGTAGTATTGTTGCAATATGATGCAACTTTTACAAATGCTAACTCAATTAATTGCTGTTTTTTGCTCTTTCTTTTCTAAGAAGAATGTCTTCTAATTGAGAGTCTTCATGCAAATTTTACCTTCTTAAATTCTGTTACAGACTTAATCAGGTTTTCTAAAACCAAAAAACTCCAATGTTATTATTGCTACATGGTAACATATATGAAAGTTGAAAGCAATTTGGGGTTTAATTATACAGTAGCACAAACTGATGTGGTCCAAATATAACACTTTCACCTTGCCTTTAATAGAGAGAGAATTTGATCCTGATATCTACTGCGGAGTCATTGACACAGAAACCAAGAAACCCTGTACCAGGTCGTTAACATGCAAGGTAAGATGCCTATATTGGACCTCCAAAGTAATTTAGCCTATTTGAACAATCAGCAAAAACAATCTGAGTGTCTTCGGTATAAGCTGACTGAGTATTTTTAAAAATGTAACATCCTTTTGAAAATACATTTGAATAATTCAGATGCTTCTATAAGATTGCTTAGCATATTGTAAAAAGTTAAGACCAGTGTCACAAGTTTTTGTTCCCGACATTCTGGTTTTTTTAAAACTGAAACCAAACATTTAGCAAAGAACAACAAAAAGAACCTATATGTGGCATGTATACAGAGAATTCTCTTTAAAAAATAAATTTGTAAAATAACATAAAACATAGAAAAAGAGTGTTTTCAGTAATACCAATTTTAAAATACATGTGATCATTGATCTGGAGTTCATTCATACTTCTCCCATCCATTGCTAAATCAGTACTTCATTCTTTATATTGATTTTTTTTACTTTTCTTAGTTTGAAATTATAAGTAGAACTAGGTCTTCCACATGCACTACCTCATAATTATGATGTATGCTAAAAGTAATTTGTAAATCACAACACCCATTAATTATATGGACAACTGTTCAATTTAAATAGTATAGAACAGTGTTTCTCAACCTTGGCAAATTTAAGCTGGATGGACTTCAACTCCCAGAATTCCCTAGACAGTCACAAATAATGTCTGTTTCTTGGACAGAATTAATTATGTTTAGCACATACCATTAGAGAGCCAGTTTGAGGTAGTGGTTAAAGCAGCGGGCTAGAAACCTGGAGACTTCTAGTCACGCCTTAGGCACAAAGCCAGCTGGGTGACCTTCGGCCAGTCCCCCACTCTCTCATTGGGAAGGAAGCCATGCCAAACCATTTCTGATAAGTGAAAAAACTGCAGGGATTTGTCCAGGCAGTTGCCAGGCATTAACACTGACTCAAAGGCACAAAAAAGAAAAAAAAATGCATACCATTACAATATTTCTGCTTGTTCAGGTTCTAAATTTAGAAACTGTGTAGTCACTGCAGATATATGGGGACATGAGCAGATGTCAGCTCTTTGAACATTCTTATACTGTATATAACTGCCACATGTAATGAATTTGATTTATCATGAAATAAGAAACACAGTACGATTATAGTTTATTAATTTAATTCTATTTTAAATGCTATATTTTCATAAGAAAGTCAGACAAGGCAGACTTAGATCTATTACACTAAGCCAGAGGTCTACTATATATAATAGATATTTCTTATCTTTTTCTTCCATGACTTTTTTCCCTTTAGTACTCACCCCAAACTCAAGGTTGATCTAGAACCTTGTAATTTGTAAAATTTATATGCTGTATTTGTAAAAATTACATGCTGTATAAAGATACATGCTTGGTCCTGAATAGTACTAAGTAAAATAGCTAGGTTGTTTGCTTAGTCAGAGCTAATGTGAAGTAATGATTAAGGCATTGGACTACAACAGGAAGACCCAAATTCAAGTCCACTCTCAGTTTTAAAAATACACTGACTTTGGGCCAAACATTATCTTACCACATTGCTACAGTGGCGACAAATGAAAGACATTCCTTAAGATTCCCTGATGTGCCATGGGCTTTATTTTCCTAAAATAAAGAATCCATCATTTGAGAGAGCCAGTTTGACCTAGTGGTTAAGGCACCAACTAGAAACCGGGAGACCATGAATTCTAGTCCTGCCCTAGCTATAAAAGTTGGCTGGGGCACTTTAAGGCAGTCACTCTGTCTCAGCCCAATTCACCTCACAGGGTTGCAGAAAAAGGAGGAGGAAGATGTGTTGGATATGTGGGATTCAAATAAATAAATTGTGGGCCTTTGTTCTTTATTGTGGGCTTGCTGAAGAGTCTAATCCTTTTTGTGCACTCAGTCTCTCATGCCTGTGCCTAATTTCTACAATCCTTTTACAGCCTGAACTAATTTAATATTTTGTACTTTCTAGACACATTCCCTAACTCAGCGAAGAGCTGTGCAGGGTCGGAGGAAACGATTTGATTTATTACTAGCTGAGCACAAAAGCAAAACCAGGGAAAAAGAATTACTCCGCCATTTGGATCATCATCAGCAGATGCCCCTTCTCAGGGAACCACATCCCTCACCTTCAAGGACTTCCCAGGAGCTGCACCAAAATTCTCATGGAGTTATTCCTACAGAATCAAAGCCTTTAGTACCTAATAAACCCAAACCTCACACCCCCAGTCTTCCAAGGTAAGTGTCCTGAACAGGTTGGGGATGAGTGTCTTGTGACCTCCACCCCCAAAATACCATCCCAATGGTGTGCTGATGGTACCTTGTGAGGATGGGTGTCTGTTCCTGAACAAATTCAAGAAATTAGTGATGTGCTGAATTATTTCCATCCAAATTGTTTGCCACTTTTATCATCAGTTCTCTTCAGTCGGTGACACTACTACATGCTTTTGTGTGGCACTTGCCCAAACACTTGGTCTTACCTCCACTTCTAAAATTGGCACAATAATAAATTAACAAAGATAAAATGATAAAATGTTTTCAAGATAATGATACAGGCCAATCAACTGTAAGCAAGTGCTGCATACCTATCCCATCTAGAGCTTCCAAAAGAAAGATGAATAAAATATAGTGAGGGATGTAAAAACAAAAATATTTATCTGATCTTCCTGGTTCTTTCTTTTTGCTGTGTCTGTAATAGTTGATCCTTTTAATTTTCCTATGATACACAGAAGTAATTTCACAGTTGGCTTGAATATGCTTGTAAGATGGGAGGGTGGAAATAGACTCCCATTACTTTTACATTATAAACAATTGGCTCTGTGTAAAAATAAATTACTGGAAAAACTATTGAGCCACAATAACTATCCCTGACCTTTATTGTTCAGGGGAAGTTGTTATTCTGCCATGATTTTTCATCACTGCTGTTTTATTCTTACTATGCTATTAGTAATTAGTCTTAAAGTGACTGTAATAGCCAACCAACACTGTCACATTAAGTTCATGATTGTGACCATAGTCTAGGAGTCCTAGAATTGTAGAGTTTGGAAAGACCCACAAGGATCATCTAATCCAACCCTTTGGATAATTAATTAAAGCATCCATGAGAGATAGCTCTTATCCTGCCTAAAAACCCCAAAGATGAATGGAACAACCCATAGGTAGACTGCTTCATTGTTGCTCAGATCTTACCATTAGATCTATCAAATCTACATTGCCTTAAAGTCAGTTCTTTTAAACTCCTGACAACTGCCTCGACAAGTCCCTGCAGCTTTCTTGGCATGATTTTAGAAACGGTTTGTCATTGTTGCTTTGTAGAGTTGAGAAAGAGTGATTGGTCTAAGATCATTCGGCTGATTTTATTCCTAAGACAGGACTAGAACTTACAGTTTCTCAATTTCTAGCCTGGTGCCTTACACCAAACTGATTCTCAGTAGGCAATTTTCCAAAGCACCAGAAGACAAGATAACAAAGAATGAATGGAAACTAATCAAGGAGAGAAGCAACCTAGAACTAAGGAGAAATTTTTTAACAGTGAGAACAATTAACCAGTGGACAGCTTGCTTTCAGAAGTTTTGGATGTTCCATCACTGGAGGCTTTTAAGACAAATCTGGACAGCCACTTGTCTGGAATGGTATAGGACATCCTGCTATCAGGGGGTTGGACTAGAAGACCTCCAGAATCTCTTTCAACTCTGTTATTCTGTTAATGCCTTCATCTCTTTTTTCCTCTTGATATTTACATTGGATTAGTGTAGCATTTCATTGGGCCTTTAAATTTCATTTTGTATTCATAAAACCTCAGTATGACAATTATTTTATGTATAGGTTTACAAAGGAGATAAAATGTTATGATGGAATCTATGGCACCTATTACTGATGTTGTACAAGCTTGCAAATCATTTTCTAATATTACCTTTATTCAACAATTCCTCTTCTCTGAAGGCCTCCAGGCTGTCCTGGCCAGCACAGTGGGAATGCCCCTAGTGAATCTCCATCACTCCATGAATCTCCACATGCTCCCTTGCCTGCAGCTGAGCCAACATCTCGGTTATCCAGTGATGAGGGAGAATGTGATGAAAAAGAAGAGCCTGTTGAAAAACTGGATTGTCTTTACTCGGATCATCATCCTCAAGCAGCTGCTGTATGTTTCAGTCAATACTTTCCTGTGTTATATTTAAAAGCTGTATATTAGCAGTTGCTTTAGTTGCCTTGTTAGAGAAGATGGAAATGCATGTAAGGGTTTGCTGCAGATGATGGATACTGGAGTTGGTCATGATTGGTGTAATACACATTAGATTATTCTGGGGTTTAATATATTATGATGGCAGAATAGAAGAAACTCTTCACTGGACATCTAGTATTCTAAAACAGTATTTCTCAATCTTGGCCACTTGAAGACGTATGGACTTCAACTCTCAGAATTCCTCAGCCAGCAGTGCTGTCTGGACAATTGATTAAAATTCTGGGAGTTGAAGTCCACATATCTTCAAGTGACCAAGGTTGAGAAAGAAGATTTACATATGAAATTCTATGAAGTGTGAGTTGTAGTGGCATATCTCTAAGATCCTTTAGGACGTTTATTCTAAGTTACTTGCAGATATTAAGTTTCATTTTGACTTGATTTTATTTGTTAAAGCGTTTGTTGGTTAAATACATCTTGCAGTTACTAAAATTAAAATCATATTCTTGTTCTCCTTGCCTTCCCAGTTTTGCACATTTGGTAGTCGACAAATCGGAAGAGGTTACTACGTGTTTGATAAGCGGTGGAACCATATCCGATGTGCACTTAATGTCATGGTGGACAAACATCTTAATTCACAGATGTGGAAGTGAGTTGACACTGAGGAGTCTCTAATTTATTTCACTGTTAATGTTTTTTATTTGCATGTAAAAACCAAAGATGTAAAAAAAGTTTTCTCAGCCTTATTAGCAATTTCTAAATAAGTAGAAATTAATTTTCTGGAACTGGGATGAATATTATGATAATTTCTAAGAACAACAGATGTTAAATGTATAGAATGTTGGATGGGCAATAGTAAGAAATTTCCTTTAAAATATTGCTACAAACTTTGATCATTTCTTGGAAATGAAACTGGTTTTTGAGGGCAGAGAGGAAAGAGTATGGAGACAAAACAATTGAGTCCTATTTGATTAAAATTTTGTTTAGATATTTACGGTTTCGTTGCAGCATAAAAGTTATCTTATTCATCTTTACAGGTACTGGATAGCAGGAAGCATACTATAGTATTTGTCAGATGGCGAAGCTAACATGTAGCCTTCTAATAAATTCTACAGTCCAAGGGCCTAGAATTACTTCTTTCCCTTCTCTTTTGATTCATACATTTATAGCAGCTCTTTGCCAGAGTCCACCAGGCTTAAATAAGAAAAAATTGAGCCTTCCTTCCTGAATTCAAAATTTAGTGCTTGGTTTTTTAAAGCAAGCATCTATCCTAAGAAGAACAAACCGTAATGAATTTAGGTTTAAAGTGTTTTTCCAGAGTTCTATTTTACACCCACATGTGTCTGCAGAAGGAAGTTGGCTTATGCAAGTGTCTTCGCTTTATCTTCTGAGTCATGTTCAGTTGACCTTTGAAAACAGGCAAAATAATATGGTCTTTGAAGCATATCCTTTGATTTTTTCTGCTTTCCAGGAAGATTCCTCCCGCGACAAGCAACTCAGCATCCATCCGTGCTCCCCACCGGACAAGTGCCATGCCCGCGTCACAGTACGGTGTCAGCACGACCAGTTCCACGTTACCCACAACCGCTGTGTCCCCTCCAGTGCTTGTGTCTCCCTCTTGTTTATCTCTTAGTGGCAAATCAGTACCATCCCATGGGACTACGCTCAATGCCAACCCTGCTAGTTTTGGTGCCGCAGAACCTGCCTGCAGTATGCAATCGAGACAAGGGTCTACATCCCTTTCAACACCTCCAGTGCTTTCCTCAATACCTTCACCTCTGTCCAGCAAACCTCAGAAATTTAAATCCAGCAAGTCTTTTAAGCCTAAGGAAATTTCTGCTAGCAGCGCCAACTGTAACAGTAACAGTAGCAGTAGCAACAGCGGTAGCGGCAGCTCAGGAAAGAAGCGTAAGAACAGTTCCGCGCTGCCGGCAGCTTCTTCTCATTCCACAGAGTCCTTTAGGAAAAACTGTGTCGTGAACTCTGGAAACTCGGGGGCTTCTTTTCACTCTCCTGTGATGTCTTCATCCCACAGTGTTGGCCTCAACTGTATGACTAGTAAAGCGAACTCGCTTAGCCTCAAGCATGACCAATCAGGGAGGGGGCCTCCCATGGGGAGCCCCGCAGAATCGATAAAACGAATGAGTGTGATGGTGAACAGTGGCGATTCTACCCTGTCGCTGGGACCGTTCATTCACCAGTCCAGCGAACTGACTGTAAACTCACACGGCGGGTTTTCACACTCACATCCTTCCCTCGATAAACTCATAGGAAAAAAAAGAAAGGGCGGGCCTGGTTCAAGTAGCCTAAGCAGCAGCAGCAGCAGCAGCAGCAGCAAAGCAAGCAAGATTGCCAAATTGCCACCGGTGAACAACATTCACACAAAACACACCGGTGCAATCCCAGGGACACAAGGATTGATGAACAATTCTATTCTTCATCAGGTATGAAATCTTAACTTGGGTCAGACTTACAACAGGCAGATGCATCGTGGTGCCATTCTAAAACTTTGCTTATATTTGGAAACAGAAAGTGTAACTTGCAGGGGGTTGGACTATTTATTTATTTTATTTTTTTATTTTATATTGGATTTCTATACCGCCCTTCTCCCTAAGGACTCAGGGCGGTGTACAGCCAGATTAAAAAAAACATGCAGAACAAATATTAAAAACAATTAAAAGATATATAAATTTGGCCCAATTAAAACTCATTTACCAATTAAAAACGTTTAAAACATTTAAAAACAGTTAAAAATTTCATCTTAAGCCAGCCCGGCTTGTTTAAATAAATGGGTTTTAAGGGCGCGACGGAAGGCACTGAGGTCTTGGATTCTCCTTATCTCTGGGGGGAGCTGATTCCAGAGGGTGGGTGCCCCCACAGAGAAGGCCCTCCCCCTGGGGGTCACCAGCCTGCATTGTTTGGCTGATGGCACCCCGAGGAGGCCCTCTCTGTGGGAGCGCACGGGTCGCTGGGAGGTCGTCGGTAGCAGCAGGCGGTCTCGCAGATAGCTAGGCCCTATGCCATGGAGCGCTTTAAAGGTGATAACCAACACCTTGAAGCGCACCCGGAAGACAACTGGGAGCCAGTGCAGCTCGCGCAGGAGCGGTGTTACATGGGAGCGCCATGCTGCTCCCGTCACTACCCGCGCTGCTGCGTTCTGGACCAGTTGGAGCCTCCGGGTGCTCCTCAAGGGGAGCCCCATGTAGAGAGCGTTGCAGTAGTCAAGGCGAGAGGTGACGAGGGCATGAGTGACTGTGCACAGGGAATCCCGATCAAGAAAGGGCCGCAACTGGCGAATCAGGCGAACCTGACAAAAGGTCCCCCTGGTTACAGCCGTCAGATGTTCCTCCAAGGACAGCTGCATATCCAGGAGGACTCCCAGATTGCGAGCCCTCTCTGTGGGGGCCAATGACTCGCCCCCAATAGTCAGTGATGGAGTCAACTGACTATATCGGGATGCCGGGAGCCACAGCCACTCAGTCTTGGAAGGGTTGAGCTTGAGCCTGTTCCTCCCCATCCAGACCCGTACAGCCTCCAGGCACTGGGACATCACTTCAAGGGCATCGTTGGGGTGGCCTGGGGTGGAGATGTACAGCTGGGTGTCATCAGCGTACTGGTGGTATCTCACCCCAAAGCCACGGATGATCTCACCCAGCGGCTTCACATAAATGTTGAACAGAAGGGGCGAGAGGACCGATCCCTGCGGCACTCCACAAATGAGAGGCCTCGAGGTCGACCTCTGCCCCCCTGCCAACACAAACTGCGACCGGTCGGAGAGAAAGGAGGAGAACCACCGCAACACGGTGCCTCCCACCCCCAACTCTTCCAGCCGGTGCAGCATGATACCATGGTCGATGGTATCAAAAGCCGCTGAGAGGTCTAACAGGACCAGAACAGAGGAACAACCCCTGTCCCGAGCCCTCCAGAGATCATCAACCAACGCGACCAATGCCGTTTCTGTGCTGTGCCCAGACCTGAAACCCGACTGGAACGGATCTAGATAAGATGTTTCCTCCAGGAATTGCGGAAACTGTCGTGCGACCACACTCTCAACAACCTTCGCCATAAAGCGAAGGTTGGAGACAGGACGATAGTTGGCCAATATTGCCGGATCCAGGGACGGCTTCTTGAGGAGAGGCCTCACCACCGCCTCTTTCAAGACTAGATGACCTCCAAGGTCCCTTCCAACTCTGTTAAAGACTTGTTATAAAATTACATTTTAGATATCTTGGCTGTATTCTTTATCTTTGTTTGTTTTTTTATTAAAAAAAATCAACGTATATTTCACAGTAACTTAACTTGGATGTAATGCATTCCATACTTTCAGAGTTGTTGAATCTTCCAAGTGCAGTATAAATGTCTTGAGAAGAGAAAGGACATAATTTGCTAGTGCCCCTTTTTTATGTTTGGCTTTTCTTTCACCAGCTAGAGAAGGGGAAAGATTCATGTGGATTTGTGGATTTTTCCTTCTCTTGGCCATCAGTAGATTCTATATCTGAGAAACTGCTGAAAAAAGTGAAGAAAATCACTGTGATAACTATTATTTTATTAATTACATGAATTAATCCCATGAACATTATAACTCCATAGATAGTAATTTCTGAAACCGGTACCAATACTGCAACCAGAATGACTATGGCCTGGTAAAGAGGGGGGAAAAACTTGTGTTGCTATGAGAAAGGACTAGCAAATCATAATAAATTAGGGGAAGGAAACCATATTGCTAAAGGAATATATTGAATTATGTTTTTAAAAAGTCATGCTGTTGATCAGTAAACTTACTAATGTTTTACAAATCTTTCTGTTATTTTTGACCCTTTTGATAGATGGTTGTATTATCTTTGGGCTTACGAGAAAGGATCAAGTAAATGCTTACTGGACTTAATGAACAATAGCTGTACTTACCTGTAACGAATTGTCCTATATAAAAGCATTTCATGTTGATCAACGGAAATAAGCAAAAGAAACCTTGTTCTTCCCCATTTTTGACTGTTACCTTCATTCCTAGATTCTCCCAAAGCATGATCCTTGTATCCCAAATTGTGTAACTAGGTATGATTTGAGTGATTATATTTATATTTTGTTTTTCTTTCTCTCCATCTCCCATTTGTGTAAAAGCCAAAGGCACGTCCCTAGCAGTTGACAGTACCATGACAGAACTGGATTATTTTCACTACAAGCAGAAAAAAAAATATCTCCATCTGGAAATTCTGGACTCCCTGATGCCTTTTGAGTTCTCCCAGCTTCCCACAGTTCTCAGGTGTGGAAATCTACTAGTCTGTCACTCAATCAAGGAGAATCCCTGAAGCCATGTCTGTAGCAACAGAGATTGGAAATGGACACTGGATTGCCGTTCAGCCACAGGATTATTCCTATCAGTGTTACCAGTGGTCTGGACTGCTTGCTACACATCCCTGTGAAGGTTTTATTTACAGGAGTACATCATTTTTGCCACTAATTCAAACAAGATTGGTTGGGCAAAGCAGTGTTTGGGAAAGAATATTTACTATGGACTTGTGTTTTCTTTTCTTTACCGATAGTGTCATAAGCCTAATTAACCGCTCTTTTGGCACTGTCCTAGTGAAAACCCTTCCAGAAGGGGGCACAAATGTGTTAGGCACAATAAAACAGACAGAAAAGCCCTCCAGAAGGGAATATGGCTTTAGTGTTTTATAGCAATGTTCCTTGATTGGAATACAAATAAATAAAAAAAAAATAGCACAATTTAGAAATGAAAGTCTACATTTTGCCCAGCCTTTTATAAGTAATTTGGGATAAGAAGCTGACAGGAGTTCTTAAAACAAAACACAAGTTTGGGGTCATCACTCAAAAATTAAAAAGCATATTTAAATTGTGAAACCACATGGTACAGAACAATTTTTAATGGGAGTTGTCCACCAAGCGTAACTGCCTCATCTCCTTCATTCCTTCCAGTGGAGGTTGTATAGGGCTCCTATATGAGATCCACTGAAATGAATGAAGGTTGCGCAATGGCATTCTTTGGAGGAGGATGGTACCTGCTTGATTCTGAAATAAAATTGCTTTGATTCTAATACACAGACTGATGCAAAACTCTTGAATCCAAAATGGTGAATGACCTCTAAAACTTATTCCCAAAGAATATATTCTTGACCTATACTGTATGCCATACGCCTTTGTTGTTTTGGGGAGATGTGGGTGGGGAAGGATGAAAAATGAAACCAAAAAGAAAAAAAAATCCTTAAAAAAAAACTAAATTGCAATCATCTGTAACACTAAATTTTCTGTGCTATTTTTCTTGAAAGATTTTTCCAGCAAGTTGATAACTTTGTTCACACAACCAAATCACCTTTTTCTGAAGTCCACCTTCAGATTTTTTCTGATGACTGCATTAAGTGCCAGTTCAGGTTCTGAGCTCAGTATTAAATTTACCCCTTGCATTACCAGTTTATAACGGGGGAGAGGGGAAATGAGTCATTCAGTTCCCACTGATACCTTTTTCTTTTAAGCAAAGGGGGGGGGAATTGGAAGGGCTTTAACACTACTATGTGATCTGGTTGATTGTAAGAGTAGTGAACCTTGAAAAACAACCTAGAATTTTACGCATTTTGTTTGAAAGGGAGAGGAAACGATCAATCCAAACCATAGGACATAATCCATGGGGAATTTTCCTTCTGCAATTCTATAAAAAATGCACTTCCTGTCCTTTTGTAATAGGGTGTGTTTTGGAGTATAGATTCAGACTGTCATTTCCTCCCCAGTGTGTGTTTTACTTTTGCAATCACATTCAACAAGGCCAGATTTTTTAGCATGTTGCATTTTCACAGCTTTTTGGAGATGCACCTGCAAATCTGTTGGACTTGTGGACTCAACACCCAACCTTCCAGGCAGCTCAATTCCATCTCATGCCTGTCACTTGAGAACCACATAGTCAAAAAAGTTAACACTTACTGAGGGAGGAAACAGATCATCTGAATCTACCTGCAACAGGGCTTGTGAAGATGTCCTCAATGAAATACGCCTGTAGACTGCCTTAAATGGGCACCAGATTTTGCTGAGATTAGACAATCTGAGCCTATCTAATTCACACAGCCCAGCCTCTCTCTCCCTACTACGGTGGTGCATTGCACATCAGGGATTCTAAAGCCACCACGAGCAGTAGATGCTTGGGGTCTTTTTTGTTGTTGTTGTTATTGTCCTTGGTTGATTTTTACCTGTTGAGATTTTCAAATCAACATGAAATTTGCTAGTGAATTATTTAAAAACACAGTGAAGAAACAAGACTCTATGCAGACAACTCTAAAGCCTTGAATTCACAAAAAGATCATGTTGGGGTGGGGTTTTTTTTTAAGTAAAGGAATAATATTATGGACACTGATGATTATGCAAATATTAAAAGTGACTGCATTCTGGAGAAAGGGGAATTTTAAACAACCCTTTGGTAGATAGAAAATATTGTAAAAATGTGAAGACCTCTTAATTGGCTTATTTGGAAAGTGGGAAGGAACAACCAAAGTAATGTATCTGCCTGGCAGAGAAAGTAGACATAGGTTCCATCCCACATGTTAGGTATTTTCAATCACAAGTGCAATTTGGTTTTTACCTTTGAAGGCTGACCTTTTCCATGAGTTAAATCTTAGTGGCTTTAAGTACTTGGAAATATACTTCTTTTATAAATATTCTGTTACTCTGAGCATATCAAAGCAAGTCCCAAACTCCTTAAAAATGCAGATCTCTGTGGAAAGTTCAACAGTGTTTAATTTAAATAGGTTGCACAGCTATGGACCCAATTCCCACTGCGAATGCCTGGGCTGCAAGCTATGTTGAAAGCACTGGGAACTTCACACAAACACAGCCATGTTGTTGCACAGAGCTCGCCCAGTGCATTCGGTAGGGCTTAAATGCATAAAAGGCATTCTAAGGTGGAATTACGTCTTGCATATGGCTCTTAAGGCATATAGTTTTATAATTTGCTATGAATAGAAACGGAAGATGTTAATTTATGCCTGCCCTCAAAGTGTAGACTTGCTTAACTATTAGGCAAACAATATTCCATTTTTGGGAGCTTAGTAATGAATGGAGTAATTGTTTTTGAATCTTTTATTGTCTGACAACATTCTCATTGTAAATAATTAAGGAACTTTCAAATTTAATTTATCTTGCAAAATTTGCAGTGACTGGGTTGTTAGAATGATTTTAATTTAAGAGATACGATTTTTATAGACTTTCCTGCTTCTCATTATGACTCCTGCAGTTTTCTTAACCTAAAAAAATAATAATAAAAAATGTTGCAATGGTGAACAAAGAAATATACAAAAAAAAATAATGAAACCCATAATTTTGTACCTTTATTTTGGAATTTCTTGTTCTATTATAAATATTGAAGTATCCCTATTTCAGAAGACATATTTTGTTAATTGATTGTACATATTTAAATATGTATTTTTGCACAGGTTGTTTTTTTTCTTATATCCAGTTTTGGTACAATTGAAAATCATCTAGTATTTATTAATTAAAAAAGGAAAAAAAGCAAATACCCTTTTTTTTATAATTTGAAGTGGTTCACTGCCAAGCCAATAGCTAACATGCCTACTTTGCAGTTTTTAAGGGATGCCTCTGTCTGGAGAGGGGGGAGGGGGGCATTCTGTCTCTTGTCTTGGGAGTTGCTCCGTACAAGTGAAAGTCCTGTGCCCCTCACCCCCAGCTTCTCCGATTCTTAGCAGCGAGGCGAGGTCACATCAGGTGGCATGTTGTTGACCTACTCTGGTATATACAGCATAGCTTAACAATTGCCTGATTTCCAGAAGACTACATTCAGTTGTGACACACTGCTTTTTTTTTTGTTTCATTTTAGCATTTGTGTGTATGTGTATGTGCACACCTCTGTGCCCGCATACGTGCACACAGGTGTGAGTCTTTATATGGTTTAAAAACTAATGGAAAAACTGAAAGTGCCTGATTTATATATCTAGATTTTAAGCTTGGACTGTTCTTTAGACAGCTTCTCCTTTAAAGACTTGAATGTTCTGTTAAAAAAATAAAATAAAATAAAGTCGAGCTTGCTTTTCCCACCTCCATGTGACTTTTCCATTAATGAGGGAGAGAGGATGCAGTGGAATGAGAATAAAACTTGCAAATGATCCAACCGAAATACAGTCCTCAGTTCTGTAAACAATGCCAAGGGGTTCTTCTGCACATAGGTAGGTTTTCAACGTATTTCTGTTGTAATCAGATAGAACTTTTTTTTAAGGATACAGATTGTTGACATTTTGTATTACTGAAAAAAAGTTACCTCTCAAAGCAATTTTACAAGCTACCTACACAAGCCACTACCACTGTCCTACACACAATCCTCACCGAAATGAATTGGAGAGTTTGGCAGCGGTTCAAATCCCAGTTCATTTCAGTGAAGACTTCTTGCCCCCACCCCACCCCGCCCCTGCCCCCCAGTGAGCTTGTGCTCAATTGTGTGATTTTTTTTCCCAACCATTTTCTGGTAAGTCGTCTTCCGGCAAGAGTTATTATTGCCAAGTATCCTTTTTTTTTGTCTCTGTCTTTTGGGGATTGGTAATTGTAAAGTGAAGGGGATTGGACTTGAAGATTGTTCTGCTTTCCTTCAGCAGAAAACCTATGTTAAATGCTTTGTGCAAAATACTCTACTTTTTATGAAAGGTGTTTATTATTATTATTTTTTAATGAGCACTACATAATGTCAATGAGAATGTAGGCCATGGAAGCTTCTTGCTTTGGAGTTGAGCCTAGCTCCATAGAGAGGGTGGGGGAAAAGCAATCTCCTGTGTAAAATGTGTGGATAGTTTGATAATTTGTATACATATTCAAGAGCATCTGCTCGGAGCTGAACTTTTTGTGTTGGCTGCTGTATAGTACATGAACAAATGTCATGGGGTAGAAAAAATTACTTTGGATATTTAAAAGAAGAAAATATATAGTCTATTTGTTTTGTAACAGGTTTCTGTAAATAAAATAATTTATACTATTTATAAAAAAAAGTTGTGCTTTTGCTTCATAACCAGAAAAGTAAGCTTGCAGAATAAACAAAATGTGACTTAAACCAAGATAATAAAAAAAAAATTAGGTTGTCTTTATGAGATGCACAATGTTTCTGTTTCATAATGAAATCAACAAAACCTGGACTGAGCTAAGAGACGTGTAATTATTTCTGTGAAGAATCCCAACCGTATTTCTAATCAGGTAGATGTGGGCATCTCTAGAAACTTACATGGAAACAGGGTTTAAACTTTTGTAAGGTCTTATACAGCTGTCTGCATCTTCCTACCTCTACCTGTAAATCAAGTAGATGCAAAACAGAATTAATACCTCCTTGACACCTGTAACAGATTTATCAATATGAAGTAAGCAACATGATACCAGGCTGAGTTGTTTCTTGTCTGCTCTAAACATCAGGACACATCAAGTCACCTGTACTGTATCTAATTGCTAATTTGAGGCTGTTTGGAGAGCAGTAGAACAGGAAAAAAGAACAACTTGAAATGACAAGTGAATAAATCTATCATCTCAAATTATAAATTATCACGGAGAACAAGTAAATCATTGAAATGGACATGGAGGGACTATCCTTTGTCTTCACTTAGTGGGTGTTGAAAATTGAAAACTGCTTTTGTTCAAGACCAGGACAGTAAGTGAAATGTCCTCCAGAAACTAGAAAACGAGAATTCATTGTACCAACTTAATTTTCTCCTGGTTTTTCTGGTCATTTCATAACCCAATGCAAATGCAATATAAAAGGTTAAAAACACATTTAATTTTAGGTAAAATTTGTAATTGTCTTCAAGAACACACTGACAATTATTGGGTTTCTTTCTTTCTATATCTAACCTTCTCAAATAGTATAGGCACTGTTCCCAAGTACTTTGTAATGAAAATCCAGCAGCCAAATAATGTCCAAGTACCTTCACCATCCCCCTCATATAAAATCATTGGTCCTAAAAATCACTGTGGGATCCTTAGTGAATGCATTGTAGTTATGTCACAATAATGAGTATTTAGTTGATGGCAAAACAAAATGACATTTTTCCCATTCAATTAAAAAAAAAATGTGTTTAATAATTTGATGGATTATACAAAGTGTAAATCTGATCTTTCCTCCATCTCAACTATTTGTCTAGTTTGAGATGACAGTTACTAGGACTATCATATCTCAGAAATAAGAATTTTGAATTAATAGCTTAAGAACCCACAAAGATTCTCAAAAGTGGATTTTTCTTCTTCTTTAAGCAACTGCTGAACCTACATGATGCTGCCATCTGCTGTTAGTACTAGAACTCAACTCACTTAAAGCAGTATCTTGAAGAACCACAATGGGTGGACATTTTCCCCAGAAACTGCCCAAACATTGGCATAAAATATTAACTCCATCCAAATTCTGAAGTGTTCAAAACGTCTTGATAACTGCAATAACAATCATTGCTGCTCAGTCCTCACAAATAGCTGGAACAGTTATGGCCAAAATAATACATTAACTACTGAATGATCTTCTGAATGATCAAACTGATCAACTCCAAGGTCCCAAGAATCGCATCTGTCAATGCCTGTTCAAATTTTCTGGATGGAATTGTAGTGAAAATACATGTGTATCAAAAATGTACCACTGTCTTGTTAGGTCATGTGTAAACACAGGAAGCACTTAAAAACATTTCTAGGTAACGAAGAAGCCCACATTCTAGGTAGTGCAAAGAAGCCCATGGAACAGAAAGCCAAATCTGGTTCATCAGATGCTTGAATGCTGCTACCTGGAGCTAAATTGTTTTATTGACCATGTAGTTTTGTTGGTTGATCCTATCAGACTACATTAGGACCGAGATCCAAAAGATTTCTGTGCCCTTAATAATGCATACACGTAAGAACCAATGCATATTTATGCATACTTATGCAAATAGGGTATATGTATTTGTAAAGGCCAGTTTGGCCTAGTGGTGAAGATACCAGGATAGAAACCAGGAGATTGAGTTCTAGGCCCACCTAGAAGCATGAAAAACTGGCTAGGTGACCTTGAGCCAGTCACGTTCTCTCAGCCCAACCCACTTTACAGGATTGTTGTGGAGAAAACAGGAGGAGAAAGGAGTATTAGGTACGTTTGCGGCCTTGAGTTATTTATAAAAATAAGAGGTGGGTGTAAAAATCCAATAAATATAGTTGTCTGGCAATAACCCCAGCTCTGTTCTTGGCCTGTTTCCTTAAATGCAAATAAAAGTGATACTGAAAGTCTCTGGCAGCTTCTTAATATGAGAAGCAAGACTTGATTACACAATGTGAGAAGCTGTTCAAGTCTCAAACACTTCTCAAAGACTCCTGAGCAATATGGAAAGGCCTTACAAACCTGTAATTCAAGTCCAAACAACAACAACAACAAAAAGGGGGGGAGGATTGTGGTGTCACCAAGAATAGTTGGGCTTTTTCATATGTTCATAAATAATATGGAACTAGGAGTATAATTATGGCTGTATTTAACACAAAAAGAAGCAAATGAAGGTTTCACTTTATTGCAAAAAGGTATAATGAAAAATGGGGTTCCAGATCATTAAAAAAGGCACATACCTAACATTACATATGGTATGAAATTGGCTAAGGGGGAAAAAAATTCTCATGTTAGATTTTGGGCTTATCCAATAAAGCAAATATTGGAGAACAGATAAAATATCTTTTATCACCTAGCATAATAAGGTTGACTTGAATTAATGATTGTTGTTAGATGAGGTCTATGAATTTCAGTATCTTTATCTGAAAAATTAATGGAGTATAACACAATGATCTACTTAATCATGCCAATTTGCCAAAGTGTCCTGCTGGTCCTCTCTCCATTGTAAGAAAAGTTGTGAAAGATCAGACTTGCATTCTCATTCAAAACACAAAGGCCAAAACAGCTCAGCCTCTGGTTAACAAAAAACACTTAAGCTTTAAATTAAACTCCATAACTCAAAAACAAAACAGTCAACCGTACTGTACATTTAATAAATGGCAATGATCGGAAAACATGAATATTCATACAGTTCAGTTGTTTACACAATGAAATAAGGCCGCAAAAAGCCCTAACTACATCATGGTTACATTTCCTTACCTACAGTACAAATTATATAACATAGGAATAATTACTTCCAGAAAAGTTCTGACTGAACGGTCAGAACTTTGTTTTACTTTTTTTTTAAAAAAAAAAAATCACATATTAATTACTCGAGAAAGCTTCTGCACTCTGTTTAACAACAAATCTCCTTTTTTGATGGTTTCTTGGTACTGCCAGTTTTTGCTGTCAGGCCTACAATAAGAAAACAAAAGAAAATGTATTGAGAGATAGTACCAACACCAGTTGGCCTTCAAACTGTCATCCTACATAAGAAGTCTATGAATAAGACTCTTATAAAGCATTTTCTTTACAACTATCGGTCTTCCCTTGCAAGATCATAACCAGAAAAAAAGCAAAAGGTATTTGGGGCTACATATGCATTTGAAATTTGGCCCAGACGAGAAAATAACTGAAGGTATACCTTAGAAACACATTTGACAGGATAGCAATTTACAATCCGCAAATCTTGTAATGTTACTGTTACAATTATTAATAATTACTGTTACTGTCCGAATAATGCCACTTCCTTAAAAGAATATTCAATAAGAAGTTTGACAGCTACCTGTTGGTTTCTACGATTTCATTGACTTTGTCTATCTTGCAGTGTAGTCTCCCAGCAGCGATAAATCTTGAAAGTTCCCTTGTTTGGAAGATAGGGAAAAAAAGATCCTCAGGTTGATGATTTCGGGACACCATCTTAACAACCCCCACTGCAAAGTCCCTTTGTAGCAACACACAGCTAAAATGTCTGATGTTTTAGGACCAGTCTAAATTAGCCTTGCTTCTTCCTTTTAGAAAGACTGGGTGGAGAGGAAGCCTGCCATATTGACCTAGTGCAGCCAATGTTAACACCATGGAGTCAACAGTCCCTTTTTCCTCAAAGACATGTCAGAAAATGTTCAAAGCTGCAGCTAGGGCGTAATTAAATGCTGCTCTCCTGATTGTTTATAGCTTTGAAACTTAAGACCTGCA